GCATGTAAAGCCAACAGAAATTCTATATACATTTATCTTTACTCTCAAAAGATTAAAACATCCAAATCCATTTATGACTAAAATCGGGTGGAGAGGTGGGGATTTAGTTAATTTCCAAGAGAAATGGTTGCATGGCTATATCCTAAATGGCTTGCAAGAGGCAATTTTAATATTGAAAAAGATGTAGATTCTATAGAATTCTGCAGATTCATAAAAGATAGAGGTAACAGAGATAGAGTAGTATATCTTACAAGTTGCCATATCATAAGATACATGAGAGAAAGCAGTATTCAGGTTAAAATTCTGCTATGAGGAGATGAACAAGCTGGTTTCTGCTGGTTTTTTCTTCACAGCTCCAGTCCTATAGGAGCAGCAATAAATAATTTTGTTTCAATAGTAGCTTTGGAATATTGGCTAGAAGTCCCAATACAATTTGGTAAATTCAGTTTCTTGCAAGACCAATAGACCATCAATGACCATCAATGGCCAGCATCAGAGATCATATAACAGTGCGCAACATTACAATGTTCTGGCAATGAGCATTTGTGAGGCAATTGAGGATGTGAAATTCTTTGAATTCCATGGGCCTGAAAAGATTTCCAACTCTTGGTGCAAATTGCATGGGTTTAAAAGTTATCCTCAACATTCCCGTAATTAAACGTAGCAGTTATCTATCTAGAGGGATAGAATCAAGATCACGTGAAGTATTAATACCACTTTACAATGCCTTGGTAAGGCCACACTTGGAATACTGCATCCAGTTTTGGTCGCCACGATGTAAAAAAGATGTTGGGACTCTAGAAAGAGTACAAAGAAGAGCAACAAAGATGATTAGGGGACTGGAGGCCAAAGCATATAAGGAAAGGCTGCTGGAATTGGGTATGTCTAGTTTAACGAAGAAAAGGACGAGGGATGACATGATAGCAGTGTTCAAATATCTCAGGGGCTGCCACAAAGAAGAGGGAGTCAAGCTATTTTCCAAAGCGCCTGAAGGCAGGACAAGAAGCAACGGATGGAAACTAATCAAGGAGAGAAGCAACCTAGAACTAAGGAGAAACTTCCTGACAGTTAGAACAATTAACCAGTGGAACAACCTGCCTCCAGAAGTGGTGAATGCTCCAACACTGGAAGTTTATAAGAAGAGACTGGACAACCATTTGTCTGAAATGGTATAGGGTTACCTGCCTGAGCAGGGGGTTGGACTAGATGACCTCCAAGGTCCCTTCCAACTTTTTATTTATTTATTTTTTATTATTATTATTATTATTATTATTATTATTATTATTATTATTATTATTATTATTATTATTATTATTATTATTATTATTATATGCAAGCTCTTGTCTAATGAATTTGGGGTTGAATTGAGAATAAGGTTGCAACCAAATGGCTGTTGCAGTGTGCCTCCCTTTGAAAGTATTGGAAGATATCCATGTCTAGATCTGTGTTCAACATAGACCCTGCATTTTCTAGAAGGAAAGAGATATGAATATGGACCACCAACATCAATCAAAATAATATCTTAATGGTAGTGCTTGACTTACAATCATTTGTTCAGTGAACATTTAAAATTACAAAAGTGCTGAATGAAGGGACTTATGATCTGTATCCGAATATGGCTGTCGCAGCACCCCCACAGTCCTATGAACAAAATTCAGGTGCTTGGAAATCTGCCTGCCCTTATAAATAACTGCAGTTGCCCTCACCCACCTACCTTCCCCATCCCCCATCTCTGGATCCTTTGAGCTTTCCTCTTAGCCAGATGGTCCTCTCAGGCCCTGGGCCTGCTTGGGTCCCACACCCCTGAGCCTTCTCCTCCCTACTGCCTGGTCACACCTTGCTTCACTTTCCTTTTGCAAACATTTGGGAAAAAGAAACAGCTGATCCACTGTGCAGCCTTTCTATACAGAGGCTAGATGGTGCTGTCCCAAAAGCAGGCACCATTTTGGGGGCATTCAAAAATGACCCAAGAATTGCGGTCACTATCAAAATGGCACCTGCTTCTGGACAGCACCATGCAGCTCTATATAGGAAGGAGAGCACCATGCAGCAGAGCAGGTGCTTCTCTTTCCCAAAGGTAATTTTTGGAAAAGATAAGCGGAGTGAGGAATGATGGGGGGAAGATGCCCAAGAGTGTGTGACTCAGCAGAAAGGGAAACTATGCAAGGGGCTGCCTTGCGGTGAGAGAGTCCCTGAAAGGACTGGGGCAGGCCCTGTGTGAGCTGGGAGGTGCTGCAGTGCACCCCATGCTCCACTTAATGATCCATGTGGTTACGTAATGACTGCAAAGGAAGTGTAGACTTACCAGTCTTGCTTAATAACCACCATGACTTATGACTATAATTCTGGGCTCAATCATGGTGGTAAGTCAAGGACTATCTATAGTTATTCTAAGCATTAAAAATTGTGCTAAGAATAAGTAAGGCTAGGGCCCCCAAATTAAAATATTTTATATTAGACACCAAGCAGCTTCACACCAAACGAAATGCCACTACTCAAGACAGGAACCTTACACAAATGCTGTCAAATAATTGTCCAGTCTGTTCTTGAAAACCTTCAGTGATGATGAGCACCCACAATCCCAAGAGATAAGCTATTTCATTAATTAATTGTACACTCTGGCTCATAATTAAGTGGTGGTCCACCAGGACATCTACTGATATAATGACCTTTTTTACAGTCTGAGTTGTCCAAGACTCACAGTGAAGGTAATTGGAATTGATTGGATTCTAGTTTCAAGGCATGAACTGTAGGATGGTGAAGCTAAAAAGAAATTTATATTGATGCAATCTTTCTCTGTTTTTTATTTGCTCAGTTTCTTATTGTCTCCTAGTTATCCTTCCTCTTTTAACATTTTATATTATGCTAATAGCATTTCTCTCTGCTTGCTAATCTTCCTTGCTTGCTGGGAGAGAGGTGACTTGAAAAGAAATGTTACATTTTCTCCATATTTCTTTACTTGATCCTTAGTCAGAGGCTATGCAGTTAATAGGATAAATACTGCAGAGGATAATATTGCCAATTCTCTATTTCTGTGAACCCTTACAAACACAGGTGGCAACTTTTAAGAAACCTAGGGGAACATAAGAGAAAATAGTATGAATTAACACTCATTTTGGGGGAAAGCCTAGAGATAGATGTGTCATAGGCTTTCCCCTTTACCTCTGGTCCTGCATTTTTCAAATAATGCCTGACTCAGCCAGCAGGTCACAACAAAAAGGCTACAAATCAGCATGTGCAATAATGCCAGGAAGTAATGTGTAAGCAGGCCAAAAGTGACTTTAAAGAAAGACTTGGCACAGTCTTTCCAGGCAGTTGAACAACAGAATACACTAAAACAATAGAACCCCTCTTTTGGCATAAATTTGTTGGTACAAACTATGCCTATAATGTTTCCTGGTATCCATAGAAATAGTAATAACTGGAACAAATATATATGGAGAGGTATATAATCTAATTATTTTGTAAAGTTTGTCCACCGTTTATATCTACTGGTTAAATGTTGATAAGCTCCTTATAAACTGGCTCAGTCTGAAGAAAATTCCACTCAGAAACTAGTGTTAATGCTCAGGAATTTGTCTTGCCAGTCTGTCATATTGTGTGTACAGTTATGCACTGGTTTTGTTCTGTTTAATTTCACTAATGTAGACTTCAATCACACCCATAGAAATCCCTTCATGACCTTAGAAATAATTTGAAACAGAGTAAATGGAAATTGTTTCTTGTTATTTCATTTTTGGCAATTCATGGGCAGTGCTAAGGAACCTCAGCAAAGTTCCCTGTCCCCTGTGCAAATCTGTTTTAGTTGTGATGTAAAAGAAAATAAGTGAAAGATTTGGAGAATTTTTAAAGTGCTCTTCCCAAGGAGACATCAATGTACAAAAATGATTTTATTTTGGGTAAAAGTTTGCAATTAATTTATTTAGCCAGTAAAAGTTTTATTCTCCATAAAATGATCTATGAATATGTTTTCTCTTTTTGTTATTGTCATTTTTGATAATCATGTCAAGAGCAATATGTGCAATGTACTTTCATATGTGAAAGAGAAAGAAATGAAATCTCAATAAATAGTGCACACCTTGGCTAATAGAGTAATGTTTATCTTTCCAAACAAAAATCTAGTTAGGCTTAGGCCTTTTTCCAAGTAAAAATAATCCTTCTTTAGCAACCACAATTGAGATCAGCAACACAGCCATTAACTGAAGTAGTCACTAAGTGAAACTGTAACTATGCTTATGATCTTCATTCAGTTTTTCTCTGCTTTACAGACCTGTGAAAACCATAAATATGAGAATGGGTCTCAAGGTTATTTTTTCATTACCATTATAACCGCAATTTTGCAAAGTTTCTCTAATTCTTTGCACTAAAGAAACATTTGAAAAACATAGTCACCACCCTCTTAAACAATGCCTCTTTCCTATGTTTTACTCTTTAAACCCAAGGAAGTTCAGAGTTTTTGGTGAATAAATTAGTGGCTGTGGTGGTATTTACATATGTCTTCCTGCCTCCTCTATTTTAAATGTTTTTTAAGACAAAAGCCTCACACCACAAAATTAATCAAACTTAAGTGTTTTTATTACTTGAATTGTTTATATATTCCATGCTATAATAATATACTGGTCAAAAATGTTCTCCAGTTAAAACCCTGACTATTAAGGGGCTAGCCGCTAGGGACATATGGAATTCCAAAGAAATTCCATTTTTTAGCTTTACTACTTCTTTTTTCTTTTCGGTTGCATGGGTGAGATCTTATTTCCATTCCACACAGCACTTGATTTTTAAACTCTGCCATTCTCAGAGTTTAAAATCTCAGTGTCCCTATGAAGTTACAGAAATGGTTTATGTTATGGGGGAAGAAGATGAGAAAAGAATAAACATTCCCGTACCTGATCTCCAGTCTTAGAATCTCAGAATGGAATGAAATCCTTTCCCCATCTTTTTGAGTTATGTATTCTAAAGTCCTGATTGTCTGTTGTTTTTTTTCCTTTCCCTACTCATAGAGCTTTCTGTTGCCCAGTGCACACAGCGTCCAGTTGACATTGTCTTCCTCCTGGATGGTTCTGAAAGAATTGGCAGCCAGAACTTTCGTAGGGCTCATGGTTTTATAGAAGCAGTGGCTGAGCATCTCACCCTGGCCAGAAGTGACAGTGACGACATGAATGCACGCATTGCCCTGCTACAATATGGAAATGAGGATGAACATGACATAGTTTTCCCACTGACATACAATATTACTGACATCACAGATCGTTTAGCTGAGATCAAATATTTGGACTCCTCTTCCAACATTGGATCTGCCATCATATATGCTGTCAACAACCTTGTCATCAGCACACAAGACAGGCAGAAGGCAGCTCGGCGTAATGCAGAGCTCTCCTTTGTCTTCTTTTCAGATGGTATTACAGGCAACAAAAACCTGGAAGAGGCAACTGATTCCATGAAGAAACAGAATGTTATGCCCACAGTTGTGGCCCTAGGCAGTGATGTGGACATGGATGTCCTACTGAAGATCAGTCTAGGAGATCGGTCAGCAATTTTCCGGGAGAAGGACTACCTAAGTCTCTCCCAGCCCGACTTTTTTGATAGATTTGTTAAGTGGATCTGTTAGTTGTGAGGTAGACACCAAAGCTTTTAAGCTCCTATATTGTTACATGTTTTTTTTAGCAAAAGTATGCTGCCAGTAGGCACAAATTTTTAAGGGAATTTATTTTTATATTCAAAATTGGTAGGCTCATTTCAAATAATGTTTATGGTGCTAATTGAAAACAAAATAATAGGAGGCTACAAAACACCACAGTATCATTTGTCACGCTTTAAAACATTGTTTAAGATGTTTATATTGTAATACTTTTGGTGCTGAATAGAGGAACTGTGCATTAAATATAAAGCATAAAGAACTATCATCTCCAGCTACCCCAAGGATCCATCTTAACCCTCCTCTCCCATTATTTCCCACTCATCCATTTACTGGTAGACGGGTAATTCCATTGTGCCTTGACTGTGATGCTAACATTTCCTTTGTTTTAAAGGAGATACTTTGCAGCTGAAACAATAACAGAAAATATTTTTATCAGTACTGAGTCTTGCACTTGGCCTATTCCATTTGTAAACACCTAGTCTTCCTTTCTTTCTTTCCATGTATTTGCTTCAGGGTTGCAACATTGGATGGTCTCCCCTGTATCATGATGCATGTAATAAATGGACTTCACAAAGATATCTATAGCTATTTCATCTTAGAAAGGTCTAGGAAAAGAAGCTTTGTTCCTATACAGGTAGTCCTCAACTTATGACTGTAATTGAGCCTGGCAATTAGAGTCATAAGTCACAATGATTATGAAGCAAATCTCTATATGACCTATCCATTTTATTACCTTTTATGGCAGTTATTAAGTGAATACAGCAGTCATAAAGTGAATATCGTGGTCGTTAAGCAAATCCTTTGTTCTCTATGAGGCAGTTTTTGTTGGAAACTGGAAGTAAAGCCGATTTCTGGCAAAAACATAAATTGCAGAGTGTTGCAAATGGCCATAAATGTGGGCTGGTTGCCAAGCACCAATAGAGGGGGTGAGGTTGAACTTTGAAACTGGGTTGTAAATCACTTTTAGGGGTCTATCATAACTAAGTGACTGATTGTAAGTGGGGGATTACTTCTACTCCCAAGGAAGGAGTCTTTCACTGAAAATGGACATCAGTATAATGTAAAGAGATTCTGCTGGGTTCTCTTCTGGATTTTGTGCTACATTTAATTGAAGCCAATTGCCATCAGTTTTCAATGTTCCATGTATAAATCTGGAATTTCCCTGATTTGACGTGGCAGACCATTATTCTTTTTCTCACAATAATGATAAGCACTATTGAACTGAATCCCAATTTAAAGTGTACTACTGTACGCATAAAGGAGTCTATTGGAACTGCATTTGAGCATTCTGTTTTTATTAGGTCTGCACTAGAATAAACAGTTCCATCAAATTGCTTTCCCCAATCAAGGAAATTGCATAAAAACCAATTTTGTTAAAGCCTGCAAATTTACATGGAAAATTGAAAGAAAGCATGACTACATTTTTAAAGAGATGGGGGAGGGGCAACTGAAGTGTTACATAACAAAGATGAATATAAAAAGTCCATACATTATGAACATATGAAACCAAAATATGGTTTTACAAACATATGTTTGTAATTCAGAATTCTGCCCTATTAACATGGAGAATATTTTACTGGTTTGCACACTTCTAGCTCCAAATAGTTTTGGGAGTTTTTTTGTTCCACACCACACTGCTTTTTTTATACTTTCAACCTTCTAGTGAAAATGTGTCTTTGGTCTTATTTCTAATTACTAATAATCTCATTTTTTCATAAATCATAGATTATACTTTCTCTGAAATATAGTGTGAACTATCCAATCTGCCACTGTGCAAAGCCATACTAATTGATGAGCAATGACTACCCAATGTCAATGTATTCCTGAAATAGTGTTTCTGGAATAACATCCTTATTTGAGCCAAAATTGCACTCCTGATAAATAAAAACTTTTTTCACAATATCTTAATATTAGTGTCATTCATTTTGTAGTGATTTAGAAGAATCAGTATGGCTCTTTTACCATATATGCTTATTTTATTATTTTCTTAATTATTAGAATTAATAATCAAGAATATAAAGCAAATGTTTGTGTAATATAAGTTCTAATTCATAATTTCCTATTAAATTCAAAGCTTTTTTTAATTAACACTATGGTACAGTCTTTGCTCTTATATAATGCCTCCCTCAAGTGCAACTCATATAGTTCCTTGGTACTATATGAACGTGTTCCATTGATATTATGAGAAAAATATGGAAATACTTTGCTACTGCCACTTTATTTAGTTGTCTAAATTCTTTGACTTGGACTTATAGTCTACACCTTTGGACTTAATGATAATCTCTTAATAACTCTACTGTCTATAAATGATAAACTGAATAGCTGATACAAAAAAGTTTTTTGATTAGTATTTCTTCCAGAAATTGTTATGAATTTAACAATATATAATATCAGGATTCTTCACTGTAGTGTATCTAGCTATTGTCCTTAATTCAAAAGCTGTGCTGGATGGAGCACTTACACTGAAGTTCAACACATTTAGAGCTCACCAAGTTCATGGGCATAAGAATGTACAGGTAGTCCTCGATTTACAACAGTTCATTTAGTAACTGTTCAAAGTAACAGTGGCATTGAAAAAAGTGACTTATGACTATTTTTCACAGTTATGACTTTTGCAGCATCCCCATGATCATGTGATCAGAATTCAGGTGCTTGGCAACTGGTTCGTACTTATGACCATTGCTGTGTCCCAAGGTCATGTGATCACTTTCTGCAACCTTCTGACAAGCAAAGTCAATGGGGAAGCCAGATTCACTTAACAACCAGGTTACTAACGTATGAACTGGAGTGATTCACGTAACAATTGTGGCAAGAAAGATCATAAAATGGGACAAAACTCACTTAACAAATGTCTCACTTAACAACAGACATTTTGGGCTCAATTGTGGTCGTATATCGAGGACTACCTGCACAAAGGAATGGAAGAATTTTAAAATATTTCTGGCTGATGTAGGGAGTTCCTGAAGAGCTATACTCATGCTGGGATGAATGTCCTTCAGTCTGAATCGGAGCTCATGCTGGAACTGCCACTATGCTGAAAGTAAAAAAATGATTAAAGTTTATTACAATTGTTGATGTTTTGCATCTATTTTCCTTATTTATTTAACTTCTGTATTAACTGTTTAATTTCTATGTGTTTCTTCCTGTGGTTTCCATTGTGAACATTGTGTACAATACTGTAAAACTTTAGGAAAGGTACATTCTTCCCTGAAGCACTCAGACCCATGTCAGCAATGCAATATTGTAAGCCCAGGGCCAATGGAACTAATCTTTCTTACAACCAGATTCATAAAGAGAATAGCCAAATTCTTTGCCTTGTGACCGTGACCTGGATAATTTTCCTATATTGGATTTACAAAAGGGACTTATTAAGACTTTGAAGAATTTTATGAGAAGGAACAAAGAAAAAAATATCATTTCTATGGTTTTTATTTTTGCTTCCATATTTTCAAATATTTTTAAGAATTTGTAAATCACACAGAATTGCTGAGCGCTGAGTGGCATATATATGTTATTAATAATAGAAATAATAAAGAAAAAAGTCTGGATTGGAGATTATGAAAATTGTACATGGAGAAAGGTTTTTTTTTGCAACTATACATATTCTATTCATACTATTACTTTGTGCTGTAACTAGGAGTGAGTCTTGCAGGGGAAAGGAGACACTGGGGGAAATTGCTCTGCTGGCAAGCCATTGACAGACACCAAGATTCCACATACAAGGATTTTTCAGCTCATAAAAGATCTGTACAACTGTACTCAAGATACACATTTTGCCTGTTCTTATAGAAAGTTCCCTTGGTATAGAATCTTGAACAGAAATCAAAGTATATTCAGGCTAGAATTGGTTAGTAGGACAAAGAGCAATCAATGATACTGTATGAATTTTATTCATTGTTGAGTTATATAGGTGGTACAGCATGCCAACTTATTTATTCAGGTGAAAAAAATAATTGAACTTAGTGCAAAGGGTTACTCATTGACAAAAACTGAGTAATGAAAAAAATAGTTTAATCATAAGTGCTTGATAAACGTAGTGTATATTCATTTCTGTATCAAGATGGAAAACAAGTAAAATGGTTGCTATGGGAGATTATGAAAGACAACTGAAGCTGCTTCTCCAGAGCAGCCCCAAAATATTTTGCAGCCTGAGACACAAAAACAAGAACCAGGCAATCCCACTTCCATTCTATGATGGGAGAGATGACGCTGCCCTCCTATGTCCTCGGAGGAACCCCTGCCCTCCTCATCTCTCCCACTGGAGATGGAAGCCTCATACCAGCTGGTGAAGAGTCTTTTCCTGCAGGTTCTCCAAGGAAGAGCATGGGGCTTTTTTTGTCTATGTACAAAGGCTTAGACTGTCCATTCCAACTTTTTGGAAAGCAAAGGCCTCCAAACAATGTCAGGTAACATTAGTCAAATAGTACGGTTCAAGCAGCTCTTTATAGAATTATGAAAGAATACACCTATAAAAGAGAAAGTGTCATGAAGAGACCAGGTAATCAGGATAAGAATCAAGAATCAGAATAGAGCTGGAAGGGATCTTGGAGGTCTTTTAGTCCAGCCCCCTGCTCAAGCAGACATTTCAGACAAGTGACTGTCCAATCTTTTCTTAAAAACCTCGTGTGATGAAGCACCCACAATGTCTGAAGGCAAGTTTTTCCACTGTTTGATTGTTAGGAAGTTTCTCCTTAATTCCAGGTTGCTTCTCTGGTCAGTTTCCATCCATTATTTCTTATCCTGTCCTCTGGTGCTTTGGAAAATAAATTGACCCCCTTCTCTTTGTGGCAGCCTCTCAAATACTGGAATACTGCTATCATGTCCCCCTAGTCCTTTTTTCTCTAGACTGGCCATTCCCAAATCCTGTAACCGTTCTTCATATGTTTTAGTCTCTAGGCCTTTAATCATCTTAGTTGCTCTTCTCTGCACTTTTTCCAAAGTCTCAACATCTTTTTTGTAATGTGGTGACCAAAACTGGATGCAGTATTCCATGTATGGTCTTACTAAGGATTTATTAAGTGGTACTAATACTTCATGTGATTTTGATTCTATGCCTCTGTTTATATAACCAAATATTGTATTAGCTTTTTTGGCTGCTGCCACAGACTGCTGACTCATGTTTAAGTGATCGTCCACTAGGACTCCAATGTCCTTCTCACAGTTACTGTTTTTGAGCCAGATTTTGCCTAATCTGTAATCCTTTGGTTTTTCCTGCCCAGGTGTATAACCTTTCTTTTTTCCATATTAAATTTCATTTTCTTGGATAAGGCCCATGTTCAAGTCTATCAAGATCTTTTTGGATCCTGAGCTTGTCTTTTGCGGTGTTGGCTGTTCCTGCCAGCTTAGTCATCTGCAAATTTGATGAGTTCTCCTATTCCTTCATCTAAGTCATTCATGAAGATATTGAAGAGTACTGGACCTAAGACAGAACCTTATGGTATCCCACTACTTACTTCCCTCCATATAGATGTAGTACCATTAAGGACTACATATTGAGTATGGTTTGTCAGCCAGCTATAAAATCCATCTGGTGGTGATGCTGTCTCTCCCACATTTTTCTAGCTTACCAAAAAGTAGGTTGTGGTCTACTTTGTCAAATGCCTTGCTGAAATCTAAATATACTATGCCCACAGCATTTTGCTGATTTACTAATTTAGTCACATTGCCAAAGAATGAAATAAGAATTGGTTTGGCATGATCTGTTTTTAACAAACCCATATTGGCTACTAGTTATAATGTTATTTATTTCTAGATGTTCACAGATGTTTTTTGAATATTTTCCCCAGTATCTTCCCAGGTATTGATGTTAGGCTGATTGGTCTGTAGTTTCCTGGGTCTGTCCCCCCCCCTTTTTTTTTTTTTTTTTTGAAGATGAGAACCACATCAGGTCTTTTCAAATACTCTGATAGTTCCCCAGTGCTCCAAGATTTTTTAAAGATACAATACAGTTCTGAGATAACATCTGCCAGCTCCTTCAGAACTCTAGGATGTAATCCATCAGATCCCATGATTTATATTCATCAAGGTCAGACAGGTATTTGCTTACCATTTTCTTGCGTATTTTAATTTTTATTTTAAGTCTTTTACAGTTGTTTTTGGTAGGTTGGGCTACAGTTTCTTTTTGTGTATAGATTGATACAAATAATCTATACACAAAAGCTCTTCTTTCTTTCTACTACCTGTTAGTTCCTTGCCATCCTCTCTCTTTAGTGGGCCAACTGCTTCTTTGACTTTTTTTGTTATTTATATGTTGAAAAAGACTTTTTTATTATCTTTGATTTTTGTTGCAAGGCTTTGTTCATTCTGAGTCTTTGCATTCCTGACTTCATCTTTGCAGGTTCAGGCTATTCTGCCTTAGTTATGTATCCATCTTTCCATTTTTTGTACCTTTTTGTCTTTCAGTTTGTCAGAGAGATCTTTGTGCAACCATGCTGGTTTCTTCTTGGATTTCTTGTTTTTCTTTTTTAGTGGTATTGTGTTGGACTGGGCTTTTATGATTATGTTTTTCAGTGTTTCCCATGCTTCTTGAGTTATTTTCCCCTTTAGGATTTTTATCCATGAAATTTTGCTTAAGCTGTCTCTGAGTTTGTTAAAATCAGCTCTTTTAAAATTTAAGACACTGGTTGGATTATATTCTATTGCTTGTTTTTGCATTATATTGAATTTCAGTATGATGTGGTCACTCTCATCCAAGGTTCCGGCAACTTCAACTGCCTCTATCACTTTTTCTCTATTAGTAAGAATTAGATCTAGTATAGCTTTTCCTCTAGTTTCTTCCTTTACCTTTTGGATGACAAAGTTGTCAGCTAAGTTGGTTAGGAATCTGTCCAATCTCCCACTTGCTGCAGAGTTGATCTTCCAGTTGATATCAGGGTAGTTTAAAGTCTCCCATTACTACTGTGGTATGTTTCCTACATACATTTGTTAATTGATTAGCAAAGAGTTCATCTATTTCTTCTGCTTAGTTGAGTGGCCTA